AGCATAACAACTTTAAACATTTTCCTCTGAAACACACGTTTTCTGAATCAGAGAAGTTAGATTAGGTACTCGGTGAGACTCATGTTCATGTCTTGGCAAGAATAGTTCTTATGTGATAATTGTATTTCCTAGTGCAACACAGCAAAGTCATATAATCACTGATGTTCTTTTAGAAATGTTGAAAGTATTTGGTAGTTTAAGATATTGTCAGTCTCTTATATTCATGGTAATGTTCATGACACATAATTAAATTCGATTTAGCTATTGATGATCATAGTCTAAATGCATTGTTTTGTTAAAGATTACAAAATGGTTAATTTTTAATTCTACTTTTATTTTCATTTATTTCCTGAAATACGCCTGTAAGAAGCAATTTTCCTCATTAGCTGCCTCTTAACACTGAAGTGATTTTGTATGAGAAATGCAGGATAAATGGGAAGTCTTTCTCATTATAGAATACTACAAGAATGGGTTGGTTTTATAGCATCCTTCAAAGTGATGGGTATATGTATTTTTAATTTGAAGTCTATTTCATCTGATATAAGTATGGCTGTTCCTGCCTTCTTTTTTGGTCCATTTGCTTGTAGGATTTATTTTCCAACCTTTTGCTTTCAGTCTATGTTTATCTTTTGTGGTTAAATGTGTGTCCTGGAGACAGCCGAAGGTTGGATTTTGTTTTTTAATCCAGCCTGCTACTCTGTGTCTTTTTATTGATGAGTTTAATCCATTTACATTTAGCTAATATTGATATGTTGGCATCTGTACTAGCCATTTTGTTTGTCTTTTTTTGTGATTTTATTCCTTGTTTTATTCTGTTCTCATTCATTTCTTTGTTGGTTTTGGCTTTAGGACTTCTTGTAGAAGATATGTGTGTGTGTGTGTGTGTGTGTGTGTGTGTGTGTGTGTGTGTGAGTGTGTGTCTCATTGGGTATTATTCATAAGCCATAGATTTTGACATATTTATAACATTTTAAATATATATCTATGATGATGATGATGATGATAATTCAAATGGTCCCTTTTTTGGCCAGTTGAACTACTTTAAACTGGATCCTAAACTTTGATGACGTAACTCAAATGTTTCCACTTTTTCTGGCATGATGAGATTTTCTATGCTCTTATGAATTTCTTACCCCACACCCCAAAGCAGTCAATTTTCCAAAACCTGCTGGTTAATTTTAAGTGAGAAGTGATACTTAACAGACTGTAGTTTAAGGGATAGTGATGCTTATGCCTTCTATGTTGGTCAATGTTTCTAGCCTTTCTCATTGGATAGATCTTAGCAAAAAAAAAAAAAATTTAAGGAAAAACATACCTGACTTCACAACTCAAATTTCCAATTTCAATATTAATTAAAATTCATTAGTGTTATATTTCATATATTTTCTCTTATGGTGCAAATATTTGACCCTAGCAAAAGTGGTACATACACTTTTGCTCATCCTAATATGTATGCATATGTATGTCTATCAATGATTTGTTTGTCAAATATAAACACATATCACATATCCGCCTCCCACATACCCACACAGCCTAGAATAACAACATTGTCACTACACATGTTTTAAGATCTTTGTAGTGTTTTTGTACTTAGACTGTACCCCATTGGAGATGTGTAAATTACTGTTTAAAAAATCACCTAACATAATGCCTATTTGTGTAGTCTAATACCCTAATATGCAGTTATTTACATTTGCTTCATTTTGCTTTCAATTCTTAAAGATCTCTTTCTGCTAAATTTTATTTTTTGTTATCATTAAAACAATGACATAATTATAAAATCAAAACTGGAAAGCTGAGTGCAGTGAAGTCTTACTTTCACGCCAACTCACCTCACTGTAGTCTCTTTCTCCCCTTCTAAGTAACCTATTTTTAAAATTACTTTGTAATTTATTCTTTTTTTTCAATACAGGCATATTTCTGTGCATGAATATGCATTTGTGGTTTCCCTCTTTTTTAAAGATGAATGATAGAGCACTGAATACATTTTTCTACACTATGTTTTTTTTTTTTACTTTACAATTTATGCTAGATATCATGCTATAGGAGTTATAAAGATGATCTCCATTCCTTTTTAGAGCTACATAGTATTCCATTTAAGGAATCTATCCATATATCTATTTAGATATAATCTATTAAAAGTCATTTATTTATGGACATTTGGATTATTTTCATTCTTTTGCTTTATTAATAGTGTTCTCCTCCCACTTAAAAGCTTTCAAATAGCTTCCCATTGCTTTTTCATAAAAATCCAAAAATCTTTTCATAGTCTATAAGGCCTTTGAGTTTCTAGCAAAGCATTTTACCAGTGTCCTTAGATTGCTGTCCATAAATAAGATAAGGTACAGGCATACCTGGTTGTCCCAATAAGAGAGGTACCATTTTTTTTTCCAGTTTAGAGATGAGGAGGCTGAACTCAGAAATGTTAAGTTTTAAATGAGCTTACTGGGTCTCAATGCCTGGCCTCCTAAATTCCAATCTCATTTTCTGTGTCTGTATACACTGATTAAAGAGACATACGAAAGCAGAGTATTCATGATTTCTACTCAATTATTTATAAATCTAAACTTTAAAAAGAAGTATTTAAGACTTTTACAAAAAAGTAATTACATGGTGAAAGTCTGTCCATTTTGGTTTATTTTCATCTATCTCTACCTATTCAGCTAAGTATTTTTCAGGCTCCATGATTGAGATGCCTAGGATTTAACATGTGATAAATTTTTGACAGTCTCTATATTATTAAAAGTAGTCAAAGATACTCATAAGTTTTGACTTAGTTAAAAACCTCATAACTAACTTAACTAGTTGTAAAGATTTATTTATTTATTTATTTATACAAGAACTGGGGTATAGGCCAGAGGTATAGGAGGGTGACAGGATTCACCAGAGACAGAGTGGGGAACAGAACAGGCAGACTGACTGAAATACACTGCTGAGGGGAGAAGCGGGCGAGACAGGAGAGGTCTGCCGCGCCATGTGGGACCCTCCCTGGCCGGCAGGGATGGAACCTGCACTGCAGAGGCTGCAGACAGCTTCACAGCGTGGTGCTCAACCTTCAGTGCCACTAGGGGAGGCCCTAACTTAACTAGTTTTAAATGTTCTCTTTTTTTGTGTTGCAAAATGGCTTGTTCAGCATTACACAATTCACAAACCCACTACACCTGTCAGTCTTCTTTCAGTTTCCTGTCAATTTCCCATTTCACTCTCCAGTTTCTATTTGACTGGCTCCTGCATTGCAGAGAAATGGCCTAAAATTCTAAACAGAGAGAATCCTTAAGTGACACAGGGACATATATTTTTCCTCGTTACAAAACATTCTCACTGCAAAAACACACAAACCATAAAGCTTTGAGGAAAAAAACTCTGTGAAATTTATCTCAAATTGATTTTGCCATAATACCATCGATCTCTGTCTTAAAAATATATAGAATGGCATTAGTTATGGGTTTTTGATAGCATTTATTTCTTTCTTTGGCTAGGACTTTCAGCAGCTGGAAATTGTTAAAAAGTATACAGTCAGATTTTACTTTATTTCCCAAACATCTCTAATTTTCAAAACCATATAAGATATAATACACATATAGATGCCCAAGCTTCATGCTTTATGCTGTGAGTTTAATAAGAAGTGTTGGACCAGGGTCTGGGAATCTGTATTTTTTTTTTTCTAAGAGTATGTAATTCTGGTGCTAGGCCCAATTTGGGATTATCACAGGTCTAAATGTTCTACCATTTACATTCATGTTTTCTTTAGGAAAGAAATACATCTTTGTCAAGTAAAGAATGTTCTAAAATGTAAGTGTGCATATGAATCATCTGTGGAGAGTGCTAAAATATAGATTTTGATTTAGTAGGTCTGGGGCAGGTCTTGAAATTCCATATTTCAGAAAAGTTTTTGGTTGATGCCAGTATATTATTGGTTTGTGAAACATAACTTGAGTATCTCTCAAACTTTTTAATTTTCAGAGTTATCAAGGGATTGAAAGTATTCATCCGTGAGCCTCACTCTAGTTCAACTAAGTCAGATTCTCCAAAAGGAAGAGGTCAAGACAAAAGTATATTTAAAAACAGACATCCACATCCACAAGTCATTCTAAGTGTAGCCAGTGTTTACAAAATCACGTTCTAAATGAAAATGTAAGAGAAAGGTAAAATCAAAATTTCCTTTTTGAGATTGTCAAACTTATAGAACTCATGCCACTTAAACCCAAATGGGATGGGAAAAAAAGCCAAAAACCAAAAAACTTTAGTTGCCTAAACAGATATTCTCTATAACAAGGAAGAATTTCTGCTGTTTTTTTTTTTTACTCTAACTTAAACTCATATTTCAGTACCTAGGAACCTATTTTTTTTTTTTTAACTGAAAACCACTAACATTAAACTATGCCTGTTACCTAGTTCCTCTTTTATGTTGTTTGCTGGTAGGTAAGCAATGGAGTGCCAATTAATTACCAAAACCAGAATTGCTATTCATGGTCCCTGGCACAACGACCTATTAGTTTTTCAAATTTAAGTGTTAGAGGCTGTCAAGGGTTTCCTTACTATATTAGATCTTTCTCCATACCCTCCTCCTCCTACATATAAAACAAGAGAGATAATTATATTGTATATATTCTTGAAAGCACCAGAAGACAGAGAGAGAACAAAAACAATCAGGACATCATGAAAGGCTATTTGGAATGAAAACAAAATAGTGCTGTCATTTCTCCTGGTCAGCACAGCCTTTCATTACACAGAAATTTGTATGACACAGGTAAAGTTGAATATGTGACTCTATAGTTTTTTTTTTTCATGTCATTCATAAAACTATTGTGTCTTTTTAATTGCTGCTTTCTGTTGATATCCAGAAAATTGTACTTTTACTTTATTTTCTATACAAAAGTTAGTTTTTAAAAAAATTTAAATTCTGTTTCTCACCATGAGAGTAACTGATTCTGGACATTTCCTTGTACTACAAACAACTAGAGAACTACATAAAACATAGGAAAGATTTGTTTTCAGACCTTAGAAACTGGTAGCCGAGGGCTGTTATCCATGACAAAAGGAAATGAACAAGATGGGCAAGATGATTTCCCTGGCTTTCTGCCTGGAGGCATATTCTGGATTGTGACCCAAGAAGAGACTCTCAAGCAGGGCACATCATTCTTGCTAAAATGAGATGACAGAAGTCATTGCTTCGGGAGGCTAAAGTGGCTAGAATCTGTGGGAAGGAATATGAAAAAAGAATGGCACAGAGTTGTAGCTCCAGAAATCTGCCTAAGAGTCACATTAAATCTATTGCTGAGTATGAATCTGCACAGGTGTGAATGAGAATCCATTAGGCTGGCATGCATAAGATAGACAATTATCAGGGTTACATAGGACTGAGGGGTGTATACAAGTTACAGCAAGGCAGTGTGGAGAGTCTTTGTTCAACACTCAGGGCATTCAGTACAGACTCCTAAAAGTAACATTCTAGTTGTAGGATTAAAGCAAAACTACACCTGATACAATTATCACAAAGCAAAACATAGGCCTCAAAACTATCAAGCAGATTCACAGATTACTTACCTGATGCTAGATAAATGTCAGTATTTTTGGAAAGAACGCAACACCATCCAAACATGCAATAAGGTAATATTATAATATCTGACATGAAGTGAAATATTAATAAGGATGCAAAAAAAGCAAGTAAGACATGACTTATTATCTGGAGAAAAATCAAACAGTCAAAAAGACTCATAAATGACAGAGAGGATGGAATTAACAGTCAATGATACAAAATTACTTCCTAGCTTGAAAAACTACACACATAATGTAGACAGAATTTAGAAGATACAGAAAGAAAACAAACTGGAAACTCTGAGGCAGAAAAATAAGTATCTCAATTTTTTTAGTGTTAAGTGATTAAATAATGACTTTAGTTCAAATACATTCTACCCCATGACCTGCCCTATGTTGGACACTTTAATTACAATGTCTGTTAGACTGTCTGAAGTTGTTCCACAGCTCACTGGTGCCCTGTTTTTATTATATTTTCCATAATTTACCTTTCTGTTTTCATTTTAGATACTTTCCAATTTATTTAAATTCATTATTGTTTCTTGTTGTTAATCTCATGCAGTATACTTTTTCATTTCAGACCTGGTAGTTTTCATTTCTTGAAGTGTGGTTTGAGTTTAAAAAATATTTTCCAAGTATGTGTTTAACATTTCAATCTTTCTCTGAATATGTGAAATTTAGTTATAATGTTCAAGAATACGAATTCCGTCTCTGTGTTGGTCAGTTTCAGTGAATGATTTTTCTCCTGATAGAGAATATTTTTCTGTTTGTTTGCATGCCTTGATTGGATGGTAGACATTATGCACTTTACCCTGTTGAGTGTTGGAAAAATTCTCTAATTTTTATAGAAAAAATTTAGTTTTGATCTGAGATGTAGTTAAGAATTAAGAACTTATTTGCAGAATAATTAATATCTATTTCTGTCATGTCCACATTCATAAAAGTAAGACACTATTGCATATACATTCCAATTAAATATCATAAATTAGTATGAATGTTAAAGCATGAATCACTGATTTTGCAGAATTTTGAGGATTATAATCCATAGCAGTAATAATGTATCCCCATTAGTTATTAAATGTGTTTGAACCCATAGATTGTATCTTAATGCTGCTGTTCCTGAAATTCATATCAATTTTCTCTCTATATTACATGATTATTACTATTATGCAGACTTGAGAATACTAAATACAGATGTAAAGTTTTCTTTATCCCTGTAGTAATTGAGGAGAATCATCTTTCTTTAATAAAAGTTGTTCACAGAGTGTCTGTCAAGTTTTTCAAATTTATTATTATCATTATTTCACCCATCCTCCAAGCTTACATACAAATAGAGTGGGTGAAATGAGCTTCTCTTTCGGGTCCGTGAGACAGAAACAGTTAAAGGTGACTGTTTCAGGTTTTGCCAGTAGGTGGCAAAAACAGTAGTGAAATATAAGTGCCTTAAAATATCACTGACATAATAATATTAATGTACACATTTGGAAAATAACATTTGAGACAAGGTGAAGTAATAATAGAATAATGCTCTTAGGACTTGATACCACCCTCTGTCTATTAGATTATTATCCAAATAGAGCTTCTCCCATGTTATCCATTTCAACTTAGATCAAGGCATGGCTGTCGTATGAACTTAGCTGGCTCAGAGTGCTCACAATTATTGAAACCTTTGAACACAACTTATGGGCCATAATCCTGTTTTTTTTTTCTTTGCTTGATACATTTAAAAATGTACTTTGACATTAGTTATTTTTTGCTTTTACCACTAAGGATCTAACTCACTTGTTTAAGCTCACATTTTAAAATTTGGAAGCAAGAGCGGGCATACAAAATAAGCGGCAGGGTGTGATGCTCAAAATAACAAATTTGATGCTAATTTTTTAACTGAGTTATGTATGATAACGTCAACTTATTTATAGTTAATAAGTATTTCTGTATGACTTGTTAGGGAATAAATGTAGGTAATATAGATGTTACTAAAAACTAGATAATAATGTGTTACATAAAATAAATACAAAAATGCTTATTTTTTTACTGGTTGAAATCAATCTTTACCATTATATTTATTATTTCAAAACATGTTAATTCAAGAAATAATTTCATAACCTTAATTTGCCTCTTGACTATTTTGCTAAAGTAATGGGAATGTTGATTTTGAATCCATTTAAGAACAGTATTTGAATACTCTATCTGACCCTATATCTTTTCTGCAATAATTTATAGGGAGTTCTCTTAGAACAAGTTAGCACCCCTAAAAACAAGGGATTTTTTAAAGTTATTAAAACCTAACATTCAATATTGAAACTGTATCATTAGGTATTACAAGTTATAGTCAATCAATTTTACTTCTAGCTAGAAAGTGTTGCTAAAATTTCAACAGCAAGTATTTTTATGCATTAGAGGATGTTCACATTTATTTCCCTTGCATATTTATTTATTTTAAAATGTCCACATAGTAGCAATTAACATCTCCCACTTACTCTATTCACATAAAGGGAATAACTGTATGGTTAAAAATTATCAAGAATGCAAGGAAGTAAGATGGCCATGGATGCTTTAAGTTGGGGCTATTCATGGCTAGCAGAGTTGTATAACCAAACACATTCTCCTTCCAGATCTCCAAATGTCTTCTCAGTCTCTGACTACACATTTCCATTCTCCCTTTCCCAATATTTATTTTATATTTCCACACCCTTTCTAATTGGCATCGTATCTATTACCATAGCTCCTAATGCTGATATCTTACTAATTTGTATCTTCAAAATAGATTTCTATTCTAATTTGTGTAATTTATTAGAAAGCAGTTTAGACATCTTGCTGGCACGTCAATTCAATGCCCTATTCCCAATATATCACTTCCATTAAAATTCCCTCTTCTTACATTCCTTCTCTTTTTCTTTTGAACATAAGTCCCATTTATCCAAGCTTATTTTTCAAAATCCTTGCCAAGTACCCATTGTAATTTCTCTCACTGACCATTTAATTACTCACTCAGCTTGATTGATTATATATTGTAAAAAGATTGCTGTTACCTACTTTTTACACTTTGGGCCATCCTATTTTTTTCTACATGACTAACCAGGATTTTTCAACCTCGACTTTGACATTTGGGGGCAATTCCTTCTTGTGGCAGGCTGGCCACAGGTTAAGCATTATAGCATGTTTAGAAGCATCTACTTTTCCTCTACTTAGTAGATGCCAGTAATACTTATCCATCTAATTGTTAAAACAAACAAAAAAAATGTCTGTAGCTGTTGATAACTGTCCCCAGTGAGGCAAAATCACTACCTCCACCCTCCCCCCTCAACTAAGAATCACCAAACTAATACAACTATATGCTAATTTATTCCCTTGGCACTAGCCTCAACTTTCTCAACCCAATTTCCACCAAGGTGAATTTTCCAAAATAAATGTATTACCCAAACTCCCCTATATAAACTCTTCAGTGACTCCACCTTACCAAAAAAAGGGGGGCGGAATGCTTTCAAACAATTTGCTCCCATCTCTGATCCATGTGAATATTTCTTAAAGACACAAGAGATAACAGCCAAATTTTCTATTTAATATGCACATGATGCTGACAGGCACATTCTAATGTCCTCTGTGTTAATATTTAGCCATAACTACTTAGTAAATTTGGAATTATATTTAAATACCCAACTCATTCTGCCCTTGATTTCTTGTATTATATTTCCGTCTAGTGGACCAAACAGAAAACTTTTTTTCAATAAGAAGGCAGCACATTCATTTTAATCATTGTAAATGAAGAAGCTTACCGAGAAGAAGGAAGTCAAAACATAAGCTAAAAGCTGTTAATTTTAATTTCTATTCTGCTACCAAAAAATGTTGAGAAAATAGAGAAACAAAAACAACTGTCCTACAGGAAGAACAGCATATATTTCAATGCACAATTCAGAAGCACCTGCATTAGTCAGAAATGCCACAATAATAACCTGACCTATTGTTAGAAATCTAGCAAGTACATTTTTCATTGTTCCCTAGTGGGACTTTTTGCCAACCAGTATTGATTGTGAGAGTCCCAAACTTCTATTAGACACTTTTCATCTTTCAGTTGATAATTATTTCAACCCAACAGTAAGATGAATTAAGATTATGAAATAAATTGATGCATGTGGGGGTCATACTGCCCAATATTCAGATGAAACACATTTGAGTTTTGTTCTCAGTTGATAGCAAGCATAAACTACTTTAAGTGTAGCTATTTCTGCAACTTTCACACTATTAATTTCCACTTGGTTTTGAAAGTCTTTGTTGTTTTGTATGTATATGTTCAGTTTACCTTAAGGACTTAATGTGATGATATAGTTAAAAGAAGAGGCAAACATTGGCAAAAGGGACTATGGGAATGAGTTCAAATGGGTGCCACTTGGTCCTGATAATGGATGGAATTTAATTCTACGTGATAGAGACACAATTAGATAGTCTTAGCTTGTTTTCTCTAATGCAGCATCCATAATAAACTACCACAAGCCAACTATGTTTCCTCTCTTCCTAGCAACTTTCTTAAAAAATGGGCCCTGAAGTCAGATTACTTATATTTAAATTCCAGATGTACACTTTTTGGGTAAGTCATTTAACTTCTCTTTGCCTTTGTTTTTTCACCTGAAAAATGGGTTTCAAAGTAATTCTACTTACCAC